ATTTACTACTAATTTAGTTAAGTAAAAATAAAGAATAATAAAATTTAAGGGTCGAACTAAAATAAAATAGTCTGCATATAATTTATTAACTAGTATATGTTATATATATATATATATATATATATATATATCTTTAAAGTATAGATATTTAACACCTTGTTCTAAATCCAAGGTTTTTATATATTTTAATTCATTATTTGACAAAGATCACTTATAAATGGTGAACAGCTGATCCAACTGTCACCATGAAAACATAGAATATACCTTTGGAACACCCATGAGGGGGATATAGAGGGTACTGCATTCAGATTTAACTCCACTAGGGACCCTCTGATATTTGTGTCTTTTTCTTACAAGGAAACTTTGGACCAATCTCAGTGAAACTTGACATGTACCTTTATGGCCCCAAAGGAAGTGTTACAGGGGAGTTAACATTCTGGTTTGACCTCTATGTAACCCCCAAGGCTCTTATGTTTTCCCAGTTTTATTCTATTGATCTCTATCAAACTTTGAAAGCACCCACAGAACATCCCAAGAAGTGACATGGATCTGAACAACCCCCTCACACCTTTATTGTTGACTTGTAATTCTAGTTTATTACCAATTAATGTTATGACTTGTTTTATTTACGTGTTCAGCTAAATCTAAAGTAGATGTTTTATAACACAATATAGATAAGTTTTATGTTCCTTTATCTTAATTTAAATTATTTTTATTTGTCCAATATCTTTCATATTATATTCATAGGAAATATCATAAATACTAAATCTGTCCAAATCAGTTAGCCTATCTTTAGTAGACCTAAATTTATACAATTTATAATATTATTTGGTTTAACAAATCCATTTAATACTGTTTTATGAAACATGCTGGTACAATTTTTAGTAAATCCTTTTATAAATGGCAAATAAAAATCTATCTCTGCTTTGAATCAGGATTTTAATTTTTATAATTGTGTACAACTTATTTACTTCTTCTCTATTATATTTCTGTATTATAATCAAATTTAATAATGAATCATTATGTACCCTATCTCTAGCAATCTGTCTAATAAAGTGAAGTTCATTTTCTAAATATTTAGGTTCTCTACATATAAAATAGGTTGTATGTACATACATATTATATGCACTATTCTTCTTCAAAAATGGATAACACGATCTTAACTGTAGTGGAAGACAGACCAAATAAGGTTTTATATATATTGTTTTGCTAATAATACCAATTTAATTATTTTTATGAGAGAATAAAGAAAACAAATTTGATTATCTATACTTAATTCATAACTAAATTGAATAGAATCAACATTATAATCCATATAATTTTTCAACTACCTGGTCAAGTTTCTTTTCAAAATCATTTGTAAGATTTTACAAAATAGTGGATAAAGAGGAGAGCTTATGACTACACCTTCATTTTGTTGTAATATGTCTTTAGGTTGACAAAAAAAAAACATTTGCAAACACAAAGCTGAGTTAAAGCAATAAATTCATCTATTTCAATTAAAGAAATGTTTATTTTCATCAACCTATTTTTAAAATATTAATTGCTTCTTTGACTGTGGCTCTTGAAACCAAAGAGACTACATCAGAAAAGATCATCATCTGGTTTTAAATTTAAACCTTTAATTTTTTTATCAAATGTTTCTAAATTTTGCTCAGTAAATTCATTCTCTTTACATAAGTATGCATATTTATTGATTACAAGTTGTGCTATTAAATATGAGGAAATATGGTGGAAACAACGTATGTATAACTATTTTAAATTTTATGTCTTTTCAATAAAGCATAAAATCTAGAAGCTATAAAAGTAGATGGAATCCTCATTCAAGAAATTTACTAGTAGTGTCACGTTTTAAAACTTACCCTTAAACAATTGTTCTATAAATAATGGTATCATAATCTTCTTTATCTAAAACTACAACACTCTCCTTACCCTTTATCTGCCTTACAAGTTATAATATTATTGTTTTGTTTTAATGAAATTAAAGCTACACATTGTTCTTTAATGGTATTATCTTTAACCTTCTTACTATTTTCAACATAACATTCTAGCAACCATTCCTGATCAAAACACTATTTTGCTTGGCACATCCAAGTGGACATGAAGATTTGTATTGACTGAGAGGTCTCATTGGCACTGGATATTGCAGCTATAATGTGGTTGAGATATTTTATTATTCAATCTTCTTTACGTTTACATGGAAGTTTTCATTAATAATACTTGCCTTTTAAGGTCCAAACTATTAACTTTCTTTTCATATTTTCTCACTTTTTTGATCATTTCTTTTCATTCCACATGGAATTTGATAATCAAAGGACAAAATACTGATCAATCATATTTTTGGTGTTGTTGAATCTTTGTAGTTCAAAATTGTTGGTGTCATTGATAAACTAATTTTGCAATTTCTCATCTTTTTATTGAATAACAGATAAGCATACTTGTACTATAAAGTCAATCTTTTCATTCTTTAAATCACATATAAACCTGGGAATTATTTTAATAATTTTATGGTTGGCCAAAAACTTATGTTGAACTGATCTCCACCAAAGTTTATAACATAACACAATGTTTAGGAACAACAAGGCAGGACCTATTGGTCCATCTTGGCTGTCCCATCCTCTAAACTAAACTAAAATTATTAAATAAAAAATTATAAACCCAGCCCATATCATTTATATAGTTATCAAGCTTTCTTTTAAACTCACTTAAATTAATTGCCTCCACAACATCCGAAGGCAATCCATTTCAAAGGCCAACCACCCTTTTAGAAAAATAAAACTTTCTTAGCTGAAGATGACTCCTATCCTGCCAAACTTTATATTGGAATCTTCTAGTCCTACCATTCTCACTATTAAGTATGAAAAAAGATAATTCATCAACACTATCAATTCTCTTAACAATCTTAAACACTTCAATCAGATCCCCTCTAACTCTTCTTTTTTCAAGAGAAAACAATTTCAGAGATCCTAACCTCTCCTCGCATCACAACCTCTCTATCCCAGGCATCATTCTAGTAGCCCTTATCTGAACCCCTTCCAACAATTCAATGTTCTTCCTAAGGTAAGGAGCTTAAGACTGAACACAATACTCCAAATATGACATAATCAGTGACATATACAATGAAATTATAACCTTTTTGACTTGTATTCAATATTTCTGCAAATATAACCTAAAATCCTATTTTCCTGCCACTAGCAACAACACACTGCTTGGATGGATTAAGATACTGATCAACCACTACTCCAAGATCGAGTTGAGAAAAAATTTAACCAGCATTCCAGTTTTTGGATTCATATCAAACATTCAAATTGGTATTTTACTGTTAGGTTTCCCATATAGTTAACATTATGGAAAAATTTAGTCCCAGTTACAAAAATCCTAATGTAACCCAAATATTAATTTTGATTATATTACCATACAGTATCTCATACATACCAATTATTTCTATAATAAAAAAAAAAACATTTTGATTTTGATTTCTGGGTGGTTTGGTTTGCATAGAATATTTATAGCTTTATTGAAATAACGAGCTTTAGCACAACCATAAGAAAAAGAATTGTATATGAAAACCATTATAATAAGGAATGACAAATTTAGCAAAAATATATAGTTACAAAGTGAATTAACCATACCTTATTATCACTTGTAATATATTATGCTTTTAACTTACCATTGATTGTACTCAACAAGAACTTCTGCACTTCTGTTGACTTGTCAGTAATGAAGGTAACTGGAACATGCCACTGATAATCATATGAAGTATTTTTCTCAAAAAATTCACTGTTTTCTGGTAAGCTAACAAGAAATCTTTGCTGCTTTACATAAAGTGTCCCTCCCTCACGAGAAACCAGTATTACAGGGAATCCTTTCTGCCATGTCCAAGTGTCCATGAGGGTGCTAATATTGATCTGTAACCCACTATCCATTACCTAAAAAACAGAATGATTATTTAGAAATTTTGCTTCAGATTCAAAATAATGCTGTAATATATGCTCAATACTGCAAATAACAATAAGAACATTAAATGTTAAAAATATCAAACACTCATGCTTAAGCAAGATAACTCAATATGAGCTATTTTCTCAGTAATAAAATATTAATTTCTATTAATAATGTCACTGAGCATTGATTTTTGTACTAAAAACCGTGAAAAATAAATCTAGTTGAACATTTAATCTGTAATGAGTAACAAAAACATCTGAACGAAGAATTAATGAGAAAATTAACTAATAAGATAAAACTTCACCGTATTTACATATAAATTACAAACTCAACATGTATAAACAGAAAATAAATACTGAACTGGTAAATAAAATTTTCCAGAGAAACATAAAGAAACACTCATTAAAATTTAGCATTTTCCTTACTTGAAAGTGTGTTTCAAATAAATACTCACCTCTCCACAGTACAGATAGTTAATACCTTGCACCACTGCCTAAACGTTTCAGCATATGCACCAAGCCTTTGAGCAAAACTCCCACCCCTACATGTATTAACATGTACTGTGCTAATGTCTGAAAGGACTAGCAATGGTCCATAGTCATCCACCAATAACAGAGTGACACATTTTCCATGGGTAGTATGTTACCTTTGTGCACTTTGTGTATTCCTAAAAATCATTCCTGATGAGGTCAAAAGACATACACAAGAAGATGGGAAGGAAGAATTGGTGGTTCTAGACAAATGAATATCTATCTAAAACACTTTTACAGGTAAGGAAAATGTTAACTTCAAAAACGCTATTCGCTTCTCGACAAAACAAATAGCTAGAATACCACATTGAATAGATGATGAAAGCACCAGTTTAGATATAAGAATCAAAAGGTTGAGCTTCTTGCTGAGAATATTAGCTATCTCTTCTGTGGAGAGGTGAGTAGTATTTCTGAATGAATAGGTTTTTTGGTGAAGAACCAACTGATTTTAACTTTAACCGAAGAAACAGTTATTTCATTTTTTTATTATTATTCCAAATTCTATAGCTAGAGTTATCAGAAAAAATAAAAACATTTTAAAAGTACATATAAAGTATTTTCCAAATTAACATGTGGACCTTAAATAACAATAAGATTACTAATCACCAGAATGTTGCACGGTCATCAAGATTAGACGATGCTTGTTTCATATTTGTGTTGACAGCAATGAATAAACTTTGTTATTTTTTTCTGATTAATCTAAACATTAAAATTATTAACGAACTATTAATTAAACAAAATAATCCCCTCAAAATATCTTTACATAAGTTAAAAATGTTATACATTCCAGTAAATATCAAGTTTTTCCAGCTGTACAAGCTATTAATTAACTGGGTCATAAGAGAGAAACATAAAAATTTCTCCACATGTAGCCAATTAATGTTGGCTAAAATGCAAAATTTAATCTTTGGAACTCTTTCTAGTTTTTTTTCTAGAGCTTGAATATTAATGTCTCATTTAGTTATTTCTCATTATTTAATAACTTAAATGTTTTTGTATTTGACATATTTTCTGATGAAAATTTTTGAAGAAAAACTGCTAAACTCATGATTTCATTATACAACAAAATTATCATACATTTTTCGATGCTAAAGCTCTTACTCATCAAGAATGTACATATTTATAACTGTTTTCATACATATTATCTCAGCTACTAACTCTTCCAATAAAAAAATAATGTTAAGGAAATAAAGTAAATAAAACACTTTATGAAAAAACATTTTTACATTATCTTAATCTAAGCACTAAGATAAAAAAACTGGATATAAACTTACAAAAGTATGAGATGAAAACAGCAAAAAATTTTATTACATATAAATCAATTTGATAATTTTGAATTTCAATAATTTATTTTTCTTTATGCCAAAAAAAGAAAATCTGGCAATGTTCATGCCTAATTAATTAAAAACTCACCTCACCAAAGGAGTTCCACAGATCTGTGGTTGCAGCATTGTCATACTGAAATCTATTTAAGTACAGTGTAATGCCTTCTTGCAAAACAGTCATTCCAACAAAACTTTCAAGCATTAGAATAAGAGTTGCACCCTATTTCAAAATTAAACACTATGATTGACTACAGCAAAACTCATTATAATTTCAAAATTAATATAAGAAATTATGAAGAACAATAAAAGAATATGTTTAGTTATAAGGAACTAAGTGAAATATATCCAAACAGTTATAAATACATAAAACAATTAAGATAAACAAAACTTTCTAATCTATTTAGGGATGGGCAAATAACTGCAACAAAATACAAAAATAATCACACTTTTCAACATACCATATTGGGTAGACATCTTATAAAGTTAAGCATTCTAACAGAGAAGTAATTCTTTTTAATAACAAAACTCAACTCTAAAAATTAAGCTGCTATGCATTATATTTCCAAGATCATGCCATACCTTTTAATCAGTCTTTTTGGTAAGGTATTTGATATTTTAAATCTGGACAACACCTTATGCCACATATGGGGTAAATTAAATGGCCAGGACAGAGACTCCTACATTTCTGACTTAGCCATCCTTAATTTAGAACTGTTGATCCAAGAGAGAGAGAGAAACCATGCAGTCAGCTACAGCCACCATTGATTAAGCAGCTACTCTTAACCAAACAGAAGAATTCACTATTACAGTTATACCATCATCAACTGCTGAAAAGTGAGACTGACTATTACAGTTCTATCATTCCCCACTGTTGAATGTGTGAGCTGTTTCAATTGTTTATGATGGCAAGCATAACCAATACGTCATTTCTGGCCCACGTTGTTGTTTTTATAGGAATTTAACCTAGATTTCATAAGATCCAGAAGTTGCACTTCAAGTTACTAGGTTTAAAACAAATAATTTTTTCATTATCTTTGTTATCATATAAAAATTGATCTTTCTTTCTTACTACTATAAACAACTTGTATGGTGAATACCTTTTTTTTTCATTCAACAGTGTTCTGTTTCCAGTAAAATTTTTGATAACATCTTCCTTCATACTGATAGTTTCAAATTTATAAAGTTTTCTGTAATTTTAATTTAATGCTCACATAATTAGGGTTTCCGGACTTAATGTTCTAAGTGAAAAATAATTTCAAATGCAATTTCTGGTATTCCTAGCATTTTTTTATGCCATAAATATAGGTATATATGAATTTTTTTCTATGAAATATGGAAGTTTTTAGAGGGAAATGGCTTCAGATATAGTCAAATACTGCAACTTGGAAAGTTAGATAAATAGTCTATGGTTATGTGTGCATATTTTGGAAATATATATGTACAAATAACAAAAGCAACAGTATGTTTAACATCAATGAAACATCCACCACCTCTTACAGCCATTGCATCCTAGCCTTTTATTACCAAATTGGATGGGTCTAAATAATTCTACAGCATAAAAAGATTTGCTCATTTCCACTTTGATGAAATATAAATTTTCAACTTTTTTTTTCTTTAAAGAAAAATTTGTTATGCTATGAAATTAGAAAACAAAATTTTACATCCCTTCTGGTGTGACATTGCATAAATTACAATAAAATAATAAACATATATTATAAACATAATAATGCTATTCTTGAAGTGAATTACAGTAACATTACATAGTGTGCAATATGGAGATGCATGATTTTGCAGACTAATATTTCAAATTTATAAATATCTTTAAGATAACATTGTATGATTAAAGATACTATGCTTAAACAACATTGAAATCAAAGTTCAAAATAATTGTCAATTTACTTAATAATATCAGTCAACATGCAGGATAGTTAAAAGAGTTGTACTAGTACACAAGTGTGTCAAAAAGAATTGACTTTATCAATATACAACTACTATGATCATATCTTCCCTAAGGTATAACTATGTTCTTGAGCACAATGTTATAAAGTAAGAAGACAACACAGTTTTACTTTACACTGCTATGTAAAATGCTTAAAAGTCAGGTGTAGAAATCAACTTGCTCAAAGAAGATAAAGCTTATTTCTTATTTCCTTTCTTGGAAGATATACCACCATCAAGAGATTCATCTGATGATTGTCTTTTCTTCAATTTCTTTTCAGAAGATGTTGAATTAGATGATTTACCAGATGCTGTCTTTTTTCAATTTCTGTGAAGAAGACAGTGAACTTTGGTAAGAGCTAGATGGTTTATCAGATGTCTTCACAAGAAAAAGATCCCTGTTTTGGTTTACAAAGGGTCTGGTTTTCTTCTAGTAATTTATTCCTCAGTAAATTTATACTTTCTCTTGTCTTTTTATACAATGCTAATTACTCTTTAGCAGCTTCTTTCTTTTTCTTGCAGCATCAAACATAATATAAGCTAGAGACAATTCTAGCTTGCTTCCTGGGCTTCCTAGCCCTTATCTAAGGTTTGATCTAAGGTTTTCCTGTCATTTATCAGTTGATCTTATTTCTCCTTCTGTAATTGGTCTTCTTGTTTATGCTCCTCTCTTCTCTTCCTTTAGCCTTTCTTCTGTTCTTCTAGGTGAGCATTGTATGTTGCATACAACTGTCTTGCAGCACAATTCTGGTTCTGTGTGAATGGTAAGCTCTCTGGCTTGCCATTGAGAGGGCCATGAAATTTTATAGAATCTTAAACTATCCTTATATCATTGATAGTATCCTCTGATAGCCTATATCTCTCTTTGGTAACAACATCTGCATTAACAGACATGGAGTGCTCAACATCAGCAATGCCATGAGGAATAATGAGACCAGCTTTTGCAACCTCAAGCAAGTTAGGGTTCTTCAAGCTCAAGCTTCCATTCAAGGTTTTCAAACAAACAACTTTAACCCAGTAATGGTCCACCCCTCTAGTGGTCTCAGTGCTGTCAACATCTATGTCAAGAACATAGCTTTTTCACCCATCACTCAGTGTAGCAACATCAACATTCTACTTCAGTCTTTGAGCTACTATCAATCCTGTTTTGTAGAGCTTTCTTCTCTGAAGATTTAGATACCTAATGTTTAGTAATACTGTAATGGAGAATGGAATCTTTCTTATAAGGTGTCCCAGTTACTGCCTCACAAAATGCTCTCATTCCAAGAAATGCCAACTTGGTTTGGGGTTCTGATAAAGTAACCATTGCAATTTTCACTGGATCCTAATTTATCAGTTAGGAATCTGGGACTTGGTTTTTCTTACAAACATCAAATTGTGTGGATCATGTTTCTGTTTTCTTCAATGACACTAAGCTTGACAAATCTGACCATTAACTTCTGTAAAATGTCATTCATTTCATCATTACTGTAGCTGTGGTGCAACAGAACTAAGAAAGCATAGCTGAACAAAAGTTTCTTTCTTCTCTGTCATCAAAAGTTGATGCATTCGTTTGAAAGGGCCACTTTTGGGTGCCATCTTATCATCTTCTTTGCCCAAGATTTCTACAAAAGTCATAATGGCACTCCATTGTTCTGCTAGTCTTGCCACAACTGGATCTAGGGTTAGCCTATGGACTGCAGTGTGGTGTTGAAACATGGTATGTTCTGTGTCTAGGTCAAGCTGCACTTCCCCATAGTCTTCTCACCTTGCTGCTGTGATATTGAACACTCAGTACAGATCAAAGCACAGATTGGACATTGCAATTCCATACTGTTACTGTTATAGTCCTTTACCAAAAGCATTGTGTACAATATGTACATTGCAGGAACCAATATCAAAAAGCCCTGAGAATGTTGCATCATTATCGTTCAATTTGATAAAAATTGGTTTATTTACATTTGGGCCATCTGATCCAAGTGCAAGTAACTTCTTTACTGGCAGATTGTCTTCCTCTATTGCTGTTAACTTATCACTAGCCACATGGTTGTCTGTGTCAGTTTGTATATCTTCAACCAGTTCTTGAGTATAGTATGACCCCATATCATAGGCAAGAAGATATGACACTTTTATATGCCCTAAGGGGTGTTGCAAAATAAATCACACTTTTTTCCCCAAAGTAATGACGAATATGGTAGGACCGCGAATATCATCACTCGTGAGAAAATGTCATTTCAACATACTCTTGGATGTTTGACTCTTCGATTTTCATTTATTGCAAAAGCTTTTAAATCTTGGTGCTCACTAGAACTCGGGTTTGTGTCGTATGTGCTGCCTTTAGGATGGCTCAGAAACTA